CCCAGTACTCAGGAGAGGGGAGCAACTGCTGAGGATTCAAGTATGTTTTCCCAAAATTATCAGCTCTGCTGGTGGGAGGTAAGGCACACTTCGTTCTCACCCCTCCACAGGGACTATGTCACAGGGACAAATGGCTATAGATTCAAGCATGCTATCTACCTTTATTCTTAAGACCTCTGCATGTTTTAGTTCCTCTTCTATGATATTGTTCTGTCTGCTGACACTCCAATCCGAATATCCAACTCACACAACTCAGTCATCTTCCAGGAAAGACACTCAAACTTATCACCTCTCATTAAACTAGAAAGGAATAAAGAAGCAGAAAACCCAAGGTCTGGATCAGCAATCCAGATAAAGAAAAAAGGACTTCTGTTTCCTGTTAACAAATATCTGGTCCCAGGAAGTGAACAAATATTTATAGTGTATTTACTATTTTAGAACATACCATGCTAAACCCTGAAGTGATCTAATGACTCATAAGGACAGTACTCTGTCCCCAGAGGACCCACAATCAAGCAAGGAGCATAAGACACAGTGAGATCTCTAGTGATGAGTGGGGCAGGTTCATGGAGCTCTCCATACAAGAAACAATGTTAACTGATCCCCCAGTCTACAAATCTCTTTTCCTATAGAATCAAGACTCTAAACTTTAGCAGAACACATGACCGCCCAGGGTAAGGATGGATTCCATCCACCCTTACAATTACGTGTCACCATATACCAAGATTAAGCCCACAGGCATGTGGCAATAGTAGAAGTGTGCATCAATTCCTAAAGGGGATAGCTGTGCTTACTCCTTACAGCAGGACCTGGACATACAAGTGGCCAGGTCAGCCATCTCGGACTGAACATCACCTACCAAAAGACCAGAAGAACAAAATAGGAGAGTCTGGGTCCCTGACTTCCAGAGTTGCTTTCCATTCCTGCACTGCCTTTCCCCCCCGAATGCTGCATTCTGTAACCATGGGAAATCAAAACATTATAAGAATCCTAGACATTGTTCATTTCTTAGTTTCATTTTAAAATGCTTTATCTAAGATCATAGAGAGTCGCAGTGCACACACACACCAGCAAGATGCATATGCAGACTTCTCCTGTGTACTTGAGCTACTTCTAAACTTAAACACAGAGCTCCTTTTGAATAGTTAACTCTCAAAATCCAAAAGTAGCTGCATATGGACTCTGGCCTAGTTCTGTTACACTCCCATAGACAAAAAGCTTCAAGTTGCTCAGGCATTTGTTTTTATTTATGCATTTGATTCCTACACTCTCACCAATCCTGGATTATTAATTTGGGTCACCCAAAGTCAAGTTTCTTCTGACTGCTTAAAAATTAGCTTCAGCCTGAAGCATGTGTAAATTCACATGAGGGAAAAGGGCAGCTGATCCAGCAAAATCCACCAGGAAACACTCAGGGAACCATCTGCAGTAGAGAACCATCCGTGGTAACAATCTCTCATTCCATGTGTTTATGTTTTATTCATCATTTTGAAAATACTTAGAGAAGTGACAATGATGAGATTCAAAGAATACTGTACAATCCTTTTTTAAAAAAGAGATATTAATGGCTTTCAGCAACTCATCTATTCAAATGAAAATATTACTGGACTATGCTCAAATCTGTTCACATCTTCTCTATTCTTAGATATAATCTATTCCCCATCATGTCAAAATCTAATTGTGACACCACAAAAGAAATTTATAGTTTTTATTGTTCATGCATATTTAAACAATCCACTTAAAATATTACAGTGCTCATTCCTATCACGGGCCATGTCTTCTGTGAATATGTTATCATTTCTCAGTACATTATTTAGGCTCAAACGTGCAGTCTCTATCATGCATGGCAAAAAACAAGGCTTGACCTTTAAAAGTGAAAAGAAAAACAGATAAGCTCTGGGTTGTTGAGCCAGCTCGGGTGTCCATCCCTGAGGCTCACAATAGCTACAGAACACACTCTCTTTGGTTCAAACTCTGTGAAGACAGTTCTCTACACAACTTGCGGGGCCTTTAAAACAAATTTTATTCATCCTAAAATGACATACCAAATTCCCACTAGCTGAATTTATGTGTATTTGGTTTTTAAAGACTAATTTTCATGTACATCAATTTGTGGATATTTTCAAAGATCCCATTGCAAGTCTGGTTCCTAATATTCTATTTTTCTCATTTCTTTTTAGATGAGCAGACTTTGTTAATATGATCATTTATTCATACATATATTTCTTTCATTCTCCGAATATAAAATATTTATTTAGTGATCATCTTACGCTATCTATGACCTCTGCCCCCCAGCACCATCTAGTTCCTAAGGGGAAAGATGGACACGAACACGCGTGCGTGCACACACACACACACACACGTGCACGCACACACCCATGCCATGTGCAGACCAGGATCTTTTGATCCACACCACTGAGTCTGCCACTGAGACAGATGTTATTCTCCTCATCTTAACAGGGAAAAACAGGTCTCAGGATCTATTTTAAATCTGAATTTGCTTCTAATGATTTCATTCTGTATATTAGAAACTGAATCAGCAGAAATTCTTCACATTTTTTAAGAAATGGCTTTTCACTATCTCAGTTTGGACTGAATCAGCATCTTCTGAGGCTCTCAGGGTGCAGCCCTCAAGGTGACCTCTGTTCTCTGGACAAGAGCAGGAAGAGCCCATGAACATGTTGGCTCCTCCAACATGCAGACACTGGGCATGGCAGCACTAGCACTGTCCACACCACTCTAGGGGGGTGGAACCCCAGAAGAGCACACACAGAAGGGCCTCTCCATGGCCTCTCCTCAATTTCCCAGAGTCGGTCTGTCATTGTACAGACTGGAAAACAGAGCCAAGGGACAAAAGTAAGATAATGTCAAGTAAGGAAAATGTTCAAGACCTGTGCCAAGGGAGTGACAGCTCCAAATTATCACAAGGCCAATACTTCCAAAACAGCTATATAAATCCAATGCAATCCCAATTGAAATCCCAGCAGCATGCTTCACGGACTTTGGGAAACAATCCAAAAATTCACTTGGAACAAGAAGAGACCCAGAATAGCAAAAGCAATTCTAGGCAACAGAGACATGACAGGGGTTATCACAATCCCCAACTTGAAACTATACTACAAAGCTACTGCGATAAAAACAGCATGGTCCTGGCAAAGAAACAGACCCGAGGATCAATGGAACAGATTAGAAGATGCAGAAACAACTCCAGACACACTCAGCCACCTCATCTTCGACAAAGGAGCCAAACACCCTCACTGGAGGAAAGACAGCCTCTTTAATAAATGGTGCTGGAAAAATCAGGCTTCAACTTGCCAAAGACTACAACTAGACCTATATCTCTCACCGTGCACTAAACTAAAATCTAAATGGATTAAATATCTAAATATTAAAACAGAAACACTAAACCAGCTGGAAGAGAGTTTAGGAAGAACTCTTGAAGACACTGGTGTAGGAAAAGATTTTTATTAACAAAACCTCAGTTGTCCATGAACTAGCACAATCAATAAGTGGGATCTCTTCTTATTAAAAAGCTTCTGCAATGGGGAAAAAATAAGAACCAAGATGCATCATGTAAAGACACAAGTTCCCAATGAGAAATGTAAATGTGTTGTATACCTAAAATGTACCAATAAAAGAATTTTTCAAAAAATAAATAAATAGCTTCTGTACACCAAGAGAAACCACCAGTAGTGTGAAGAGACAACCCACAATGTGGGAAAAAATTTTCACCTGCTATTCCTCAGACAAAGGTCTACTATCTAGAATCTATAAAGAACTTAAAAAAAATCAGACCTCCCAAATTTAAAGACCCAATCCAAAAATGGGCA